GTCTACAGGTGAGTGTGTGTGTCTACAGGTGAGTGTGTGTGTGTGTCTACAGGTGAGTGTGTGTGTGTGTGTCTACAGGTGAGTGTGTGTGTGTGTCTACAGGTGAGTGTGTGTGTGTGTCTACAGGTGAGTGTGTGTGTGTGTGTGTCTACAGGTGAGTGTGTGTGTGTCTACAGGTGAGTGTGTGTGTGTGTGTGTTTACAGGTGACTGTGTGTGTGTGTCTACAGGTGAGTGAGTGTGTGTGTCTACAGGTGAGTGTGTGTGTGTCTACAGGTGAGTGTGTGTGTGTGTTTACAGGTGAGTGTGTGTGTGTGTGTTTACAGGTGACTGTGTGTGTGTCTACAGGTGAGTGTGTGTGTGTCTACAGGGGATTGAGTGTGTGTGTCTACAGGTGACTGTGTGTGTGTGTCTACAGGTGAGTGAGTGAGTGTGTGTGTCTACAGGTGAGTGTGTGTGTGTGTGTGTCTACAGGTGAGTGTGTGTGTCTACAGGTGAGTGTGTGTGTGTGTCTACAGGTAGTGTGTGTTGTGTGTGTTACAGGTGAGTGTGTGTGTCTACAGGTGAGTGTGTGTGTGTGTCTACAGGTGAGTGTGTGTGTGTCTACAGGTGAGTGTGTGTGTGTGTGTCTACAGGTGAGTGTGTGTGTGTCTACAGGTGAGTGTGTGTGTCTACAGGTGAGTGAGTGTGTGTTTGTGTCTACAGGTGAGTGGTGTGTAGTCCTAACAGGTGGTGTGTGTGTGTCTACAGGTGAGTGGTGTGTGTGTGTGTCTACAGGTGAGTGTGTGTTGTCTACAGGTGAGTGTGTATGTCTACAGGTGATGTGTGTGTGTGTCTACAAGGTGTGGTGTGGTGGTGTCTACAGGTGAGTGTGTGTGTGTCTACAGGTGAGTGTGTGTGTGTCTACAGGTGAGTGTTTGTGTGTCTACAGGTGAGTGTGTGTGTGTCTACAGGTGAGTGGTGTGTGTCAACAGGTGAGTGTGTGTGTCTACAGGTGAGTGTGTGTGTGTCTACAGGTGAGTGTGTGTTAGTGTGGTCTTACAGGTGAGTGTTGTGTGTGTCTACAGGTGAGTGTTGGTGTGTCCTACAGGTGAGTGTGTGTGTGTGTGTCTACAGGTGAGTGTGTGTGTGTCTACAGGTGAGTGTGTGTGTGTCTACAGGTGAGTGAGCTGTGTGTGTGTGTGTCCTACAGGTGAGTGTGTGTGTGTCTACAGGTGTGTGTGTGGTGTCTACAGGTGATGTGGTGTGTGTGTGTCCTACAGGTGAGTGTGTGTGTCTACAGGTGAGGTGTGTGTGTGTCTACAGGTGAGTGGTGTGGTGTCTACAGGTGTGTGTGTAGTGTCTACAGGTGAGTGTGTGTGTGTCTACAGGGTGAGTGTGTGTGTGTGTGTCCTACAGGTGAGTGTGTGTGTGGTGTCTACAGGTGAGTGGTGTGTGTCTACAGGTGAGTGGTGTGTCACAGGTGAGTGTGTGTTGGTCTACAGGTGAGTGTGTGTGTGTCTACAGGTGAGTGGTGTGTGTCTACAGGTGAGTGTGTGTGTGCTACAGGTGAGTGGTGTGTTGTGTGTGTCTACAGGTGAGTGTGTGTGTGTGTCTACAGGTGAGTGGTGTGTGTCTACAGGTGAGTGTGTGTGTGGTTCTACAGGTGAGTGTGTGTGTCTACAGGTGGTGTGTGTGTGTCTACAGGTGATGTGTGTGTGTCTACAGGTGAGTGGTGGTGTGTCTACAGGTGAGTGTGTGTGTGTGTCTACAGGTGAGTGTGTGTGTGTCTACAGGTGAGTGTGTGTGTGTCTACAGGTGAGTGTGTGTGTGTCTACAGGTGAGTGTTGTGTGTCTACAGTGAGTGTGTGTGTGTCTACAGGTGAGTGTGTGTGTGTGTCTACAGGTGAGTGTGTGTGTGTGTCTACAGGTGAGTGTGTGTGTGTGTCTACAGGTGAGTGTGTGTGTGTGTGTCTACAGGTGAGTGTGTGTGTGTGTCTACAGGTGAGTGTGTGTGTCTACAGGTGAGTGTGTGTGTCTACAGGTGAGTGTGTGTGTGTCTACAGGTGAGTGTGTGTGTGTCTACAGGTGAGTGTGTGGTCTACAGGTGAGTGTGTGTGTCTACAGGTGAGTTGTGTGTCTACAGGTGAGTGCGTGTGTTGTCTACAGGTGTGTGTGTGGTGTTACAGGTGAGTGTGTGGTGGTGTGTCTACAGGTGAGTGTGTGTGTCTACAGGTGTGTGGTGTGTGGTCTACAGGTGAGTGGTGTGTGTCTTACAGGTTGTGTGTATGTCTACAGGTGAGTGTGTGTGTGTCTACAGGTGAGTGAGTGTGTGGGTGTCTACAGGTGAGTGGGTGTGTGTGTCTACAGGTGAGTGTGTGTTGTCTACAGGTGAGTGTGTGTCTACAGGTGAGTGTGGTGTGTGTCTACAGGTGAGTGTGTGTGTGTGTCTACAGGGAGTGTGTGGGTGTCTACAGGTGAGTGTGTGTGTGTCTACAGGTGTGTGTGTGTGTGTGTGTTACAGGTGAGTGTGTGGTGTGTGTCTACAGGTGAGTGTTGTGTGTGTGTCTACAGGTGAGTGTGTGTGTGTGTCTACAGGTGAGTGTGTGTGTCTACAGGTGTGTGTGTGTGTGTGTCTACAGGTGAGTGTGTGTGTCTACAGGTGAGTGTGTGTGTGTGTCTACAGGTGAGTGTGTGTGTGTCTACAGGTGAGTGTGTGTGTGTCTACAGGTGAGTGAGTGTGTGTGTGTCTACAGGTGAGTGGTGTGTGTCTTACAGGTGAGTGAGTGTGTCTACAGGTGAGTGTGTGTGTGTGTGTCTACAGGTGAGTGTGTGTGTCTACAGGTGAGTGAGTGTGTGTTTGTGTCTACAGGTGAGTGTGTGTGTCTACAGGTGTGTGCGTGTGTCCTACAGGTGAGTGTGTGTGTGTCTACAGGTGAGTGTGTGGTGTCTACAGGTGTGTGTGGTGTGTCTACAGGTGAGTGTGTGTGTGTGTGTCTACAGGTGAAGTGAGTGTGTCTACAGGTGAGTGTGTGTGTGTGTTGTCTACAGGTGAGTGTGTGTGTGTCTACAGGTGAGTTGGTGTGTGGTCTACAGGTGTGTGTGTGTGTGTCTACAGGTGAGTGTGTGTGTGGTCTACAGGTGAGTGTGTGTGTCTACAGGTAGTGTGTGTGTGTCTACAGGTGAGTGTGTGTGTGTACTACAGGTGAGGTGTGTGTGTCTACAGGTGTGTGTGTGTGTGTGTCTACAGGTGAGTGTGTGTGTGTGTCTACAGGTGAGTGAGTGTGGTCTACAGGTGAGTGTGTGTGTGTGTGTCTACAGGTGAGTGTGTGTGTGCTACGGATGAGGAATTGTGTCTACAGGTGAGTGTGTGTGGTGTGTCTACAGGTGAGTGGGTGTGTGTGTGTCTACAGGTGAGTGTTGTGTGTCTACAGGTGAGTGTGGGTGGTGTGTCTACAGGTGAGTGCTGTTGTGTGTGTCTACAGGTGAGTGTGTGTGTGTGTCTACAGGTGAGTGTGTGTGTCTACAGGTGAGTGTGTGTGTGTGTGTCTACAGGTGAGTGACTGTGTGTGTGTGTCTACAGGTGAGAGTGTGTGTGTGTCTACAGGTGAGTGTGTATGTCTACAGGTGAGTGTGTGGGTCTACAGGTGACTGTGTGTGTGTGTCTACAGGTGAGTGAGTGAGTGTTTGTGTCTACAGGTGAGTGTGTGTGTGTGTGTCTACAGGTGACTGTGTGTGTGTGTCTACAGGTGAGTGAGTGAGTGTTTGTGTCTACAGGTGAGTGTGTGTGTGTGTCTACAGGTGAGTGTGTGTGTGTGTGTCTACAGGTGAGTGTGTGTGTGTGTCTACAGGTGAGTGAGTGTGTGTGTGTCTACAGGTGAGTGTGTGTGTCTACAGGTGAGTGTGTGTGTCTACAGGTGAGTGTGTGTGTCTACAGGTGAGTGTGTGTGTCTACAGGTGAGTGTGTGTGTCTACAGGTGAGTGTGTGTGTGTGTCTACAGGTGAGTGTGTTTGTGTTTACAGGTGAGTGTGTGTGTCTACAGGTGAGTGTGTGTGTGTGTGTCTACAGGTGAGTGTGTGTGTGTGTGTCTACAGGTGAGTGTGTGTGTGTGTGTCTACAGGTGAGTGAGTGTGTGTGTGTGTCTACAGGTGAGTGAGTGTGTGTGTCTACAGGTGAGTGTGTGTGTCTACAGGTGAGTGTGTGTGTGTCTACAGGTGAGTGTGTGTGTCTACAGGTGAGTGTGTGTGTGTCTACAGGTGAGTGTGTGTGTCTACAGGTGAGTGTGTGTGTGTCTACAGGTGAGTGTGTGTGTGTGTCTACAGGTGAGTGTGTGTGTGTGTCTACAGGTGAGTGTGTGTGTGTCTACAGGTGAGTGAGTGAGTGTTTGTGTCTACAGGTGAGTGTGTGTGTGTGTGTCTACAGGTGACTGTGTGTGTGTGTCTACAGGTGAGTGAGTGAGTGTTTGTGTCTACAGGTGAGTGTGTGTGTGTGTCTACAGGTGAGTGTGTGTGTGTGTGTCTACAGGTGAGTGAGTGTGTGTGTGTCTACAGGTGTGTGTATGTCTACAGGTGAGTGTGTGTGTGTCTACAGGTGAGTGTGTGTGTGTGTCTACAGGTGAGTGTGTGTGTGTCTACAGGTGAGTGTGTGTGTCTACAGGTGAGTGTGTGTGTCTACAGGTGAGTGTGTGTGTGTGTGTCTACAGGTGTGTGTGTGTGTCTACAGGTGACTGTGTGTGTGTGTCTACAGGTGAGTGTGTGTGTGTGTCTACAGGTGAGTGTGTGTGTGTCTACAGGTGAGTGTGTGTGTGTCTACAGGTGAGTGTGTGTGTCTACAGGTGTGTGAGTGTGTGTGTCTACAGGTGAGTGTGTGTGTGTGTCTACAGGTGAGTGTGTGTGTGTGTGTCTACAGGTGAGTGTGTGTGTGTGTCTACAGGTGAGTGTGTGTGTCTACAGGTGAGTGAGTGTGTGTGTCTACAGGTGAGTGTGTGTGTGTGTCTACAGGTGAGTGTGTGTGTGTCTACAGGTGTTCACAAGCGCTACGAGTGTGCCAACTTCGGCGTGCAGGGCATCACGGTTGGTTGCAGTGACGTGTACCGTCACGACATCGACTGCCAGTGGATAGACATCACAGATGTGCCACCGGGAGACTACATTTTTCAGGTGAGTGGGTGGGTGAGTGAGTGAGTGAGTGGGTGGGTGAGTGAGTGGGTGAGTGAGTGGGTGAGTGGGTGGGTGAGTGGGTGAGTGGGTGAGTGGGTGGGTTAGTGGGTGAGTGAGTGGGTGAGTGGGTGGGTGAGTGGGTGAGTGGGTGGGTGAGTGAGTGGGTGAGTGAATGGGTGAGTGAGTGAGTGAGTGGGTGGGTGAATGGGTGAGTGGGTGAGTGGGTGGGTGAGTGAGTGGGTGAGTGAGTGAGTGGGTGAGTGAGTGAGTGAGTGGGTGGGTGAGTGAGTGAGTGAGTGGGTGAGTGAGTGAGTGGGTGGGTGAGTGGCTGGGTGGGTGGGTGAGTGGGTGGGTGGGTGGGTGAGTGGGTGGGCGAGTGAGTGAGTGGGCGAGTGAGTGGGTGAGTGGGTGGGTTAGTGGGTGAGTGAGTGGGTGAGTGAGTGGGTGGGTGAGTGGGTGAGTGGGTGGGTGAGTGGGTGGGTGGGTGGGTGGGTGGGTGAGTGGGTGGGTGAGTGGGTGGGTGAGTGGGTGGGTGAGTGGGTGGGTGAGTGGGTGGGTGAGTGGGTGGGTGGGTGGGTGAGTGGGTGGGTGAGTGAGTGAGTGAGTGGGTGAGTGGGTGAGTGGGTGGGTGAGTGGCTGGGTGGGTGGGTGAGTGGGTGGGTGGGTGGGTGAGTGGGTGGGCGAGTGAGTGAGTGGGCGAGTGAGTGGGTGAGTGGGTGAGTGGGTGGGTTAGTGGGTGAGTGAGTGGGTGAGTGAGTGGGTGGGTGAGTGGGTGGGTGGGTGAGTGGGTGGGTGGGTGGGTGAGTGGGTGGGTGGGTGGGTGGGTGAGTGGGTGGGTGAGTGGGTGAGTGGGTGGGTGAGTGGGTGGGTGAGTGGGTGGGTGAGTGGGTGAGTGAGTGGGTGAGTGGGTGGGTGAGTGGGTGGGTGAGTGAGTGGGTGAGTGGGTTGGTGAGTGGCTGGGTGAGTGGGTGAGTGAGTGAGTGGGTGGGTGGGTGAGTGGGTGAGTGGGTGAGTGGGTGAGTGGGTGAGTGAGTGGGTGGGTGGGTGAGTGGGTGGTTGGGTGGGTGAGTGAGTGGGTGGGTGGGTGAGTGAGTGAGTGGGTGGGTGGGTGAGTGAGTGGGTGGGTGGGTGAGTGGGTGGGTGAGTGGGTGGGTGAGTGGGTGGGTGAGTGGGTGAGTGGGTGGGTGAGTGGGTGGGTGAGTGGGTGGGTGAGTGAGTGAGTGAGTGGGTGAGTGGGTGAGTGGGTGGGTGAGTGGCTGGGTGGGTGGGTGAGTGGGTGGGTGGGTGGGTGAGTGGGTGGGCGAGTGAGTGGGCGAGTGAGTGGGTGAGTGGGTGAGTGGGTGGGTTAGTGGGTGAGTGAGTGGGTGAGTGAGTGGGTGGGTGAGTGGGTGAGTGGGTAGGTGGGTGAGTGGGTGGGTGGGTGGGTGAGTGGGTGGGTGGGTGGGTGGGTGAGTGGGTGGGTGAGTGGGTGAGTGGGTGGGTGAGTGGGTGGGTGAGTGGGTGGGTGAGTGGGTGAGTGAGTGGGTGAGTGGGTGAGTGGGTGGGTGAGTGGGTGGGTGAGTGAGTGGGTGAGTGGGTTGGTGAGTGGCTGGGTGAGTGGGTGAGTGAGTGAGTGAGTGGGTGAGTGGGTGGGTGAGTGGGTGAGTGGGTGAGTGGGTGAGTGAGTGAGTGGGTGAGTGAGTGGGTGGGTGGGTGAGTGGGTGGGTGGGTGGGTGGGTGAGTGAGTGGGTGGGTGGGTGAGTGAGTGAGTGGGTGGGTGGGTGAGTGAGTGGGTGGGTGGGTGAGTGGGTGAGTGGGTGAGTGAGTGGGTGGATGGGTGGGTGGGTGAGTGAGTGGGTGAGTGAGTGAGTGGGTGAGTGAGTGAGTGGGTGGGTGAGTGGGTGAGTGAGTGGCTGAGTGAGTGAGTGGGTGGGTGAGTGGGTGGGTGGGTGAGTGGGTGGGTGGGTGAGTGCGTGGGTGGGTGGGTGGGTGAGTGAGTGGCTGAGTGAGTGGCTGAGTGGCTGAGTGAGTGAGTGGGTGAGTGGCTGAGTGGCTGAGTGAGTGAGTGACTGAGTGAGTCTCACCCTACCCCTTCTCACCCCAGGTGGTGATAAACCCAGACATGGAAGTCTCCGAGTCGGATTTCTCAAACAACGCCATGAGGTGTCACTGCAAATACGACGCTCACCACGTGTGGGTGTACAACTGCCACACCGGTGAGTACCACTCACCACTCACTCACTCAGCCACTCACTCACCAACTCACTCACCACTCACCACTCACCAACTCACCACTCACCCACTCACCACTCACTCACTCAGCCACTCACTCAGCCACTCACTCACTCAGCCACTCACTCACTCACTCAGCCACTCACTCAGCCACTCACCAACTCGCTCACTCGCTCAGCCACTCACCACTCACCAACTCACCAACTCGCTCACTCACTCACCACTCACCAACTCACTCACTCACCAACTCGCTCACTCACCCACTCACTCACCCACTCACTCACTCACCCACTCACTCACTCACCCACTCACTCACTCACTCACCCACTCACTCACCCACTCACTCACTCACCCACCAACTTACTCACTAATTAACCATGTTGTGATGATGTTGTGACGATGTTGTGACGATGTTGTGATGATGTTGGTGGGACGATGTTGTGACATTGTTGTGACGATGTTGTGACGATGTTGTGGTGATGTTGGTATGACGATGTTGTGATGATGTTGTGATGATGTTGTGACGATGTTGTGATGATGTTGGTATGATGTTGTGACGTTGTGATGTTGTGATGATGTTGGTATTACAATGTTGTGATGATGTTGGTATGATGATGTTGGTATGATGTTGTGACGATGTTTTGATGATGTTGTGATGATGATGCTGATGGTGTGATGATGGTGTGATGATGTTGCGATGATGTTGATGTTGGTATGACGATGTTGGTATGACGATGTTGTGACGATATTGTGATGATGTGATGATGTTGGTATGACGATGTTGTGATGATGTTGTGATGATGTTGATGTTGGTATGATGATGTTGTGACGATGTTGTGATGATGTTGATGTTGGTATGACGATGTTGTGACGATGTCGTGACGATGTTGATATTTGTATGACGATGTTGTGATGATGTTGTGATGATGCTGATAATGGTATGCCGATGTTATGATGATGTTGATGTTGGTATGACGATGTTGTGATGATGTTGATGTTGGTATGACAATTTTGTGATGATGTTATGACGATGTTGTGATGCAGTTGATGTTGGTATGACGATGTTGTGATGATGTTGGTATGACGATGTTGTGACGATGTTTTTCAGGTGACTCCTTCAGCGACGAGCTGGAGAAGCAATTTGAGCTCCATCCTGGCGAGATCACAAACCTCATCGACTGAAGAAGTCACAACACCAACATCATCATACTAACATCATCACATCATCATCATCACACCAACATCATCACAACATCACACCATCACCATCATCACCATCACCATCACAATATCATCATCACACCACCATCACCACCATCACCACCATCACCACCACCATCACCACCATCACCACCTCCACCACCACCCCCACCATCACCACCACCATCACTACCATCACCACCACCACCACCATCACCACCACCACCACCATCACCACCACCATCACTACCATCACCACCACCACCATCACCACCACCACCACCATCACCACCATCACCACCATCACCATCATCACCACCACCACCATCACCACCATCACCACCTCCACCATCACCACCATCATCACCACCACCACCACCATCACCACCACCACCATCACCACCACCATTACCACCTCCACCATCACCACCATCATCACCACCACCATCACCACCCCCACCACCACCACCACCACCACCACCCCCACCACCACCACCATCACCACCACCACCATCACCACCACCACCATCACCACCATCACCACCACCACCATCACCACCATCACCACCACCCCCATCACCACCATCACCACCATCACCACCACCATCACCACCATCACCACCATCACCACTTCCACCACCACCCCCACCATCACCACCACCATCACTACCATCACCACCACCACCACCATCACCACCACCATCACCACCACCACCATCACTACCATCACCACCACCACCATCACCACCACCACCACCACCATCACCACCATCATCACCACCACCACCATCACCACCATCACCACCTCCACCATCACCACCATCATCACCACCACCACCACCATCACCACCACCATCACCACCATCACCACCATCACCATCATCACCACCACCACCATCACCACCATCACCACCTCCACCATCACCACCATCATCACCACCACCACCACCATCACCACCACCACCATCACCACCACCATCACCACCTCCACCATCACCACCATCATCACCACCACCATCACCACCCCCACCACCGTCACCACCACCGTCACCACCACCATCACCATCACCACCACCATCACCACCCCCACCACCATCACCACCACCACCCCCATCACCATCACCACCCCCACCACCATCACCACCATCACCACCCCCATCACCATCACCACCCCCACCACCATCACCACCACCATCACCACCACCACCACCATCACCACCACCATCACCACCACCACCATCACCACCACCACCACCCCCACCACCATCATCACCACCATCACCACCACCATCACCACCATCACCACCACCACCATCACCACCACCATCACCACCACCACCATCACCACCACCATCACCACCACCACCATCACCACCACCACCATCACCACCATCATCACCACCACCATCACCACCACCACCACCATCACCCCCACCACCACCATCACCACCATCACCACCACCACCATCACCCCCACCACCACCATCACCACCACCATCACCACCATCACCACCATCACCCCCACCACCCCCATCACCACCACCACCATCACCACCATCACCACCACCACCATCACCACCACCACCATCACTATCACCACCACCACCATCACCACCACCACCACCATCACCCCCACCACCACCATCACCACCACCATCACCACCATCACCACCGTAATATCGTCTAAACTTTGCCCTGTATAATAACCTGCGATGGGCATCAGTGTTATATTTAAGACATTGCTAAGTGGTGTTATTTCTGAAGCCATATATACTTGACACACGCTGCTATATGGTTGTTGTTGTTATTATGAATATAAATGCGTCCTTACGCGTGCTATCGGAACGGTAAAGGAGATCTAAAGTGATGACGTTCATATTAAAATAGAAACGCAATCAAAGATCTCACTGTTGTTTAAATGCTAGCATTGTGAAGTCGCTCAGTCACTCAGTCAGTCAGTCACTCAGTCAGACACTCACTCAGACACTCAGTAACTCACTCAGTCACTCAGTAACTCACTCAGTCAGTCAGTCACTCAGTCACTCAGACACTCACTCAGACACTCAGTCACTCACTCAGTAACTCACAAAGTCACTCAGTAACTCACTCAGTCACTCACTCAGCCACCCACTCAGTCACTGACTCACTCAGTCACCCATTCAGTCACTCAGTCAGTCACTCAGTCAGTCACCCACTCAGTCAGTCAGGCACTCAGTCAGTCACCCATTCAGTCAGTCAGTCACTCAGTCAGTCACCCATTCAGTCAGTCACTCAGTCAGTCACCCAGTCAGTCAGTCACCCAGTCAGTCAGTCACTCAGTCACTCAGTCAGTCACTCAGTCAGTCACCCACTCAGTCAGTCAGGCACTCAGTCAGTCACCCATTCAGTCAGTCAGGCACTCAGTCAGTCACCCATTCAGTCAGTCAGTCACTCAGTCAGTCACCCATTCAGTCAGTCACTCAGTCAGTCACCCAGTCAGTCAGTCACCCAGTCAGTCAGTCACTCAGTCACTCAGTCAGTCACTCAGTCAGTCACCCACTCAGTCAGTCAGGCACTCAGTCAGTCACTCAGTCACTCAGTCAGTCACTCAGTCAGTTACCCACTCAGTCAGTCAGTCAGGCACTAAGTCACCCACCCAGCCACTCAGTCTCCACGACCCCCATCCTCATATTTGCGGTCATCCACCAATCATCCCCTGAGTAAGATGGCCGCCAAGTCCTAGCGAGACTTTCGTCACCCCCCCCCCCCACCACACTGCAATTGCGTTGATAACTTTCAACCCCCTGAGTAAGATGGTCGTCGAGTTCTCGCGAGATTTCCCCCCGACCCCCACACAGCAATCGAGTCGTTAACCCCCCCCCTTACGAATATGGCCGCCGAGTTCCCGCGAGACAGAATCCCCACTCCACAACACAGCAATCGAGTCGTTAACCCCCCCTGACTAAGATGGTCGCTGGGTTCTCACGAGACTCTCCCTCCCCCCACCACTCCCCCTGACAAAGATGGTCGCCGATGGTTTCCGAGTTCCCGCGAGACTCTCACACCCCCCATCACAACACCTTCCCTTACTAAGATGGTCGCCGAGTTACCGCGAGCCTCTCAACCCCCCCCCCCACCCCTTCAACACCTTCCCTTACTAAGATGGTCGCCGAGTTACCGCGAGAATCTCAACACATTCCCTTACGAAAGATGGTCGCCGAGTTCTCGCGAGACTTCATCAACTCCACCACCACCACCACCGCTACCACCGCCGAGTTCTTCGTCAATGGTGGCCGCCGTCCTCAGCAGCAGAGGCCGTCAGCTGCGCCGGTGAGCGGAGAGCGGTGAGTTGGAGTTTGACGTCGTCCGTTCGCCGCGTTAAACGTTCAAGTTAAACGTTCAAGTTAAACGAACGAAAGAGAAGACGGAAATACGTTTTTTAAAAAAAAATTTTTACCTCAGGTTTGTCTTTGGTCGGCGTTCATTGAACGTCGGCCACAGCCGCTATAACTAAACCGGCGTTTTATTTAAAAAAAAAACCGCTCGCTCTCTCGCTCGCCTCATACGTAGCCGCCGCCTCGAATTCAATGAGCGGTGTGAGGTTTTTGGTTTTGTTTGAAAGTTGTTTAATTAAAAAAAAACGAACACTAAAATTTTTTTTAAAAAAAAAATATAACGTAACTCGCGGCCTACTTGACCCCAATCCTGCGGAGCCTACGGTCTCGCCTGGTTCACCCTGCCGGGGTAGGGCGCGACCTGGGCGGCGGCTAAGGCGTTGACGACACCACCGCCCCGACAACCCCCTCAAACCACTATTCTCGTCGGTTCTTTCGGTCAAGTGACGTAAATAGAAAACAATTTAAAAAATAATAATAAAAACAACATTTTAAAAGAAAACTGAAAAAAAGAATACAATTAAAATAACAAATTATAATAGTGTAAAATCTAAATAACTCAACTCCTTAACCGCATTCGCTTTAAGGTCAATAACTACGGGGTTGGAGCAGGCAAAGGGGATCCTCTCTCCTCTCCTCTCTCCTCTCCTCTCTCCTCTTCTCTCTCCTCTTCTCTCTCCTCTCCTCTCCCCTCTCCTCTCCCCTCTTCTCTCCCCTCTTCTCTCTCTCCTCTTCTCTCTCCTCTTCTCTCCCCTCTCCTCTCCTCTTCTCTCTTTTTTCTCCTCTTCTCTCTCCTCTTCTCTCTCCTCTCCTCTTATCTCTCCTCTTCTCTCTCCTCTCCTCTCTCCTCTCCTCTTCTCTCTCCTCTCCTCTTCTCTCTCCACTTCTCTCTCCTCTTCTCTCTCCTCTTCTCCTCTTCTCTCTCCTCTTCTCTCTCCTCTTCTCTCTCCTCTTCTGTCTCCTCTCCTCTCACCTCTTCTCTCCTCTTCTCTCTCCTCTTCTCTCTCCTCTCCTCTTCTCTCTCGTCTTCTCTCTCCTCTTCTCTCTCCTCTTCTCTCTCCTCTCTCTTCTTCTCTCTCCTCTTCTCTCTCCTCTTCCCTCTCCTCTTCCCTCTCTTCTCTCTCCTCTTCTCTCTCCTCTTCTCTCTCCTCTCCTCTCACCTCTTCTCTCCTCTTCTCTCTCCTCCTCTCTCTCCTCTTCTCTTCTCTCTCCTCTTCTCTCTCCTCTTCTCTCCTCTTCTCTCTCCTCTTCTCTCTCCTCTCCTCTTCTCTCTCCTCTTCTCTCTCCTCTTCTCTCTCCTCTTCTCTCTCCTCTTCTCTCTCCTCTTCTCTCTCCTCTTCTCTCTCCTCTCTCCTCTTCTCTCTCCTCTTCTCTCTCCTCTTCTCTCTCCTCTCACCTCTTCTCTCTCCTCTTCTCTCTTCTCTCCTCTTCTCTCCTCTTCTCTCCCCTCTCCTCTCACCTCTTCTCTCTCCTCTTCTCTCTCCTCTTCTCTCTCCTCTTCTCTCCCCTCTCCTCTCACCTCTTCTCTCTCCTCTCCTCTTCTCTCTCCTCTTCTCTCTCCTCTCCCCTCTTCTCTCTCCTCTCTCCTCTCCCCTCTCCTCTCCTCTCCCCTCTCCTCT